AGAATTGCTTGTTAGCAGAATTTTGCTCAAATTACCGGAGAATGCAGTAAAACGCAATGTAGAGGCCTCCATTTGCAGTCAGGAAAGACGTGGATTGCAGGATCTCGGGAAGCAGCCTTTTCTTGTAATAATCCTTTTTCCTCCTCCTTAAAATGGCTGCAATCTGGAACTCAGAAAAATTCAATTGCGTGTTAGGGAAATCAATTTCTGACTTTACTCAAGCTCTCAGGGCATTAGTTTTTCTCTGTTACAAAATGACATTGGCTGTAACTCAAGCAACACATAGGTTTCTGTAGGTAGCGCTCTATGGTTTGTCACCCAAATACCACTGACCTACTGTCTAATGATAGACTGAGCCATAGTTTCTGCAAAACTAAATCGAAGGCCAATTCTACAACAAAACTTTTTTCAGCTTTTGCACAACTTTGAGCTGCAGATTTTTAATGGAAGCTAATGACACATCCAAAGTTGACACAATGATGATCCCTCTGTCAGATCTATAAAGACTGACGGCCAGTTATACCAAGTCATCACAGGCAAATAAATACAAGATAACATTCTCTGATGAATACATTTACTAAAGTGGTATTTCGCCAACAACTTGAGGTTAAGTGGAATCGTGGTTAAAGCTCAGGGCTCATAACCAGAAGGTTTCTGGTTTGAGTCCATGAGCCATTATCGTGTCCTTAAAAGCAGTGCACTTAAATTTGGTTCTTCTGAACGGAACTGGTTAAAAAAATTCCACACATTTCTATATATTTTTGTAATACTTATGCTATAAAAAGAACTTTTCATCAATGTTCAGTTAACCTCATATTTTCTACTCTTAGCTCACTCAGTTCTAGATTTGATCATTATGAATGGGATATGTCTAAAAGAAAAACATTTAAACAGTTTCAATAGCCTATAAAATAATACAAAAAAAACTATATAAAAATAGTTCAGACTGAAAAGAACGAAACATTGCTAATGACCAGTTGAATGAGGTCAAATCATTCAGTGAACGAATCGTTTAAATCGGTTCACTGAAGAAGAAGAAAAACAGATTTGTTCACAAATCCGACATAACTATTTAATGTGAGCAAGTGGAAATACCAGTCAAATAAAAGCATCTCAACTTAAATCTGCTACCAAACAAGCCTCGGTTACGAGCAATGGTAAAGACTTTCGGTTTAATGAGAATGACTGTGCAAATCTAACAAACAAACCAGGCAGTTTATCATCAAATTAAGTGCGACACGCATAATTTTAATTCACAACATTTATTCAAAAGAACGAAACAAAAAGCAAAAGTGCTTAAAAAGCTGCGCAGTGTCATTTGACAGTTTTATCACTATCAACCAGCAGCTCTCTATCGCTTAGCTGACCGTGTCATCAGTCTAACGACATTTTGTTTTTACTTTGAATGCTAGTAAGTTAAATGTAAAACATGACGGGTTGAGACCCACGTCTGTATGTTTATTTCTAAACTTCGCAACTATTACGGGCCTCGCATCGTCCTGCAGGACTCTGGTGTAACGTTAGCTGCCAGGCTAACTGCGCCCTTGCCCCGGCGAATGAACGGATAGATCCGCGCTGAAACACTCACCAGATACAGAGGAGCATATATCTTGAAGGAGACCTCCAGAGCGCCGGC